GATGGTTTTTGCGACTGCACCTGAAGAAACTTGACTGACCTTCATGTCTTAAAGTAATGATGGACTGTCATTTCTCTACGCTTATTTGAGCTGTTCTTGCCATAATATGGACTTGGTCTTTTACCAAATAGGGATATCTTCTGTATACACCCCTACCTTGTCACAACACAACTGATTGGCTCAAACGCATTAAGAAGGAAAGAAATTACACAAATTAACTTTTAACAAGGCACACCTGTTAATTGAAATGCATTCCAGGTGAGATATACATGGCGGAGGCTCAATCAAGCTAGTCGTCTTGACTACTTTCCTATGTCATTCTCGTTGGCACCAAAAGTAATAAAAGTGTTGATGGGGACAGAATGTGGTCGGACCATCAAATAATTGGCATATACATTACTCTTACAGAATTTCCACGTGGGCAAGGATATTGGAAATGTAATCAAAGCCTATTGGATGACAACTTATTTTTAACCAGGACAGAAGATTTTATAACTGACTTTTTCCAACATAACATAGGTACAGCATATCCTATTATTATAATGGACACTTTTAAATGTGCCTTTAGAGGCCACGCAATTCAATACTCATCTTTAAATCAAAAGCAATTTAGGTCAAAATAGTTCATCTTAACAAAGAAAATAGAGGGACTAACAGTACAGATAAACTCAGCAAAAAAAGAAACGTCCTCTCACTGTCAACTGCGTTTATTTTCAGCAAACATAACATGTGTAAATATTTGTATGAACATAACTAGATTCAACAACTGAGACATAAACTGAACAAGTTCCACAGACATGTGACTAACAGAAATGGACAGATGTTTTTTACGCGCTGCGCGCTTCAGCACTCGACGGTCCCGTTCTGTGAACTTGTGTGGCCTACCACTTCGCAGCTGAGCCGTTGTTGCTCCTAGACATTTCCACTTCACAATAACAGCACTTACAGTTGACTGGGGCAGCTCTAGCAGGGCAAAATATTTGACGAACTGACTTGTTGGAAAGGTGGCATCCTATGACAGTGCCACGTTGAAAGTCACTGAGCTCTTCACTAAGGCCATTCTACTGCCAATGGTTCTCTATGGAGATTGCATGGCTCCCGAGTGGCGCAGTGGTCTAAGGCACTGCATCGCAGTGCTAGCTGTGCCACTAGAGATCCTGGTTCGAATCCAGGCTCTGTCGTAGCTGGCCGCGAACGGGAGACCCATGGGGCGGCGCACAATTGGCCTAGCGTCGTCCAGGGTAGGGGAGGGAATGGCCGGCAGGGATGTAGCTCAGTTGGTAGAGCATGGCGTTTGCAACGCCAGGGTTGTGGGTTCCCACGGGGGGCCAGTATGAAAAAAATACAAAATTATAATGTATGCACTCACTAACTGTAAGTCGCTCTGGATAAGAGCGTCTGCTGAATGACTGTAAATGTAAAAATGCTCAATTTTATATATATATATATATATATATATATACAAAAGTATGTGTTTCATCAATTCACAAGAGGCTGAATGTTTCTCACTGGAGAAAGCATCCGAGCGAATGAAGGAAACAGCGCCACTCTGTCTCAGTATGTGTAGCTCATCTATCTGATGCTGTCTGGTCAGAAACAGTATGACATTGTTGCCGCCAGTAGCATTGAATGCAAGGGAAGCAAGCAAGCATTTGGGCTCCCTTGATAAAAACAATTATAAAATAATAGCCAATCAGCGTTGAGCTCAACTGAGTGAGCTCAGCTGTGAATGGTCCTGGCGCACCAAAAAAAGTGTCAAGGGAAGCCAGTTTGATTTGGTTTCACACCAATCATATCAGAAGCCAAACGTGACAGAAAAAACTTGAATTGTTGCATCTCATTGTGTTGTTGTCCTCTGGTCGCTAGCTAAAAATCCTCCCTTTCCAAAATTAGCCATGGACGGAGATAGGGAATTGGACTTGTGGTTTTACTTAATTCTCCGTACTGGCCAATGAATATAACGGCGATTCTGATCAAACCATAAATTCATATATTGTGCCCCTGGTCTAAGAGGATGGAAGTTCAACATGTAGCTAGACGTATCAGGCTAATGTTAACTAGCTGGCCTGGCGCATCGTTGCACATGAAAGGAAGTTAGGCTAGCTAGCAAGCATTTTAGCCAGGTAGGCTAGGAAAACTAAAACTAAAAGCAAGTACTGTATGACAGAGTCATAGACTGTTTAGGAAACATGAAAGAGGAGGATGGCGTTGGCGTTTCTTTACAAGTAGGGTGAGTCAACAACATTTTTTCTACTTGCGGCACGCACACAGAAATCAGTAACATGGACGGCCACATCATATTAGCTTACGTTGATTGGACTAAATCGTTTTGGGTATATTTTAGTTGTCACTGTATTAGACTAAGCATAGGTGATTAGATGATGTTGAAATGTTGAAGTTGAAATGGTGCTGGAATAGTGGAGGCAGCTCCTGTTTTCTTTGCGACTTCCTATAAAACTCTCCGTGGTTCTAAATAAATAGTTGTTAAGTAGTCCGAAAAGGTCAGAAACATTAACTTGGCTGACCATGCTGTAGGTCATGTAACTGTTTGTTACATGCAATATGTTTTGTGGACTTCACCTGACAGATGTTGCTCTCCGGTTTTGTGATGAAACAAAGGAAGGTGTGGTTGAATTTATTACGCCACTGTGTGTTCTTATTGTTTTGACCTTTAGGCCTATATATCACGGTGTCAAGTATGCACTAACAGGTTATAGAGCAAACAATGCAATTATCACAACACATAGGATGTAATATGGCTTTTTTTCACTGGCTTGGCTTCCCCAATGATTTTACCCATGCACCGCTACTGACTGATTGCTTTTATTATAATTTTTACATTGCAAACAGTGAAAATTATTTTTCATGTCACGAGAGGTACCGGATCCTGGCAAATGGGTTCCAGAACGAAACAGTCCAAAACTGAGAGGTGCCAGATCCTGTTCTGGCAGGATCACGCTCAAATGAAGCACTGATAAGGCATTCCAAGATCCAAATAGACAAACTGTTGGAAAACATTGGCAAAGGAAAGACAAGTGAAACCAAAGCAGTAGAATAACCACTATTGTTTACACAGAAAGAGACAACCCTGTCAAACCCTGGGATAGGCCTGTACGCTATGTTCTGCTCCTGCCCAGTCTGGCAACAGAGAATGAGGGATTTGTCAAATTAGTCATATTGCCTTTAGATATTGTCATTCTCCATTCACAATGGCACTGCTCTGAGGTATGAGGCTTTACCCATTACATGTCATTATCTATGCCAATAACGTTAGCCAAAGTGGCTAGTAAATAAATGTGGCTGTTAAAAAGTATTTCCAATATGAAATTACCACAGGGTGGGGCTTTTTGTGGGTTTGAGTAGATTAGACACATACACAAACACATACGCCAAGGTTCAACACTAAACAGGGTTAGGTAAACAGGCTATTAGGTTAAGTTTAACCAAGTTGTCCCTTGCTGAAGGTTATTGCAAAACCTCCTTAAAAGGCTCCTGAGACACTCCAAAATGACCATTCTGCACTGAGGATGACTTTAAAGCAAACCAGACTCATTCATCAATGGGTCTATATGGCATTAATGTATAATCCATTACTTCTGTATTCTGAAAAGGAGCAATTTGCTGGGACAGCAGAAGTGTTATGTTTCAAAGGCCTTTTATCCATGGAAAGAACAATGACTTGTCAGTCTGAGCTCAAGGAGAGCTTTCTATAGAAGAAAATGTTACAGTATACCAGCTGAGTGGCAGTATGAATGATTTGTTGTACAGTGAACTTTTGTTGAACAGTTGCATACATAACCTGTGCTTAAAATACATACGGAAAAACAAACCTCCATTAAAAACATTAAAATGACTGAAATAAAGGCTGCATTTAGGTAGTATGTGCAGTGCAGGACTATTTATTTACTTTACAGAGGGTGGTGAGGGTGGAGATGTGTATCTCTGTGGCTGGCTAACAGCAGAGTAACAACAGGGTAATGAGGACTGATGGAAGGGAGACAGACTCTCTCTCATTAGAAGCTGCCTGCATCAAAGTGCCAGGTTGAGCCACATCTGTTGATCAGCCATTAATCCCACTACTTCTAGGGTGCTGCTCTGCTGTGTTATCTGGTACTGGGGCAGCCCAGCCTGGCCACACCTTGGGGTTTAGCCTGGTCCCCGACTGACTGACTGACTGAATGCAGAGGATTAGAGCAGAGACAGACATTAGGAACTGCCTTGGCATCGCTGAGGTACAATTTTTTGTGTGTTGAAGTTATTGTTGCATGTATTAGTGTCACTTTCACCAGTAGAAAGTAATATATCACTTCACTATTACATATTTTCATATACCATATTGCCCCTCCTACTCAATAACATAATTCTGAGTACAACAAGCTCTTTGAACAAACAGGGTTGAGCAACATTCATTCTTATACAGTTCATAACAGATTTCTGGTTTCTCTCGCACTCCACGTTTTGCTCATAACCATTTGAAACATGTCAAGGTGTGTAAGTAATGACCTCTTTCTAACCTGGCGGCAAACTATCTTCTCATTGCCACTATAATTATGTCTTTGAAGTTAAGGAAGCCCGTTCTTTCTTGAAACAGCATTTAAAAACAGTCACACAACAAAAAAAAACCTGACAAGGGTGATGACAGACATTGCAAAGAGCAGTTTGGAGGAGGATCTCTAACTATTTGAGGAGGCAAATAAATTCAGAGCCTTGACTGAACTTCTGATAACTTGGTATGCCTACATCAATACTCAACTGGCATATTTACAACTACATCACAGTATAGTGTATTCCACACCCTTAAATATAAATTCATAGCAAGGAGTGGAATGTGACTATAAATTAAACCCTCCTCAGTTTATAAGGACTCATTCATACTGAACTATGGTGATAAAAATACTCATACTACACATACAGTGATCCTCTGATTAAACCAGAGGGAGACAAAGGAGTAGCAGACTAGAACCAGGCCAATAGAACCAGGCTCAGGAGGTTTATTAACTTCAGGACAGGGTCATTATACCCACACCTGATTGGGGAAACTGGGCCAGACTGAGCTGAGAGGCCAGGTCCTGGGACCTGCTCCATTGCTTAGGTAGCTCCATTATCCCATGTGCCCCTCCTGATCCGCGGTGGGCAGAGGAGGCTATGGGAAACAGCGGGCCCATGAAAGCCCCCTCTCTGTGGCGGCCTGGGCCCAGGAACAGAGGGCTTCAGTCAGCAGCGGCCGTCAGTCGATCACCTTTCACTCTCTGCCGCCATTTAATCCCGGGACTACTTTTCACCACCGGCTGCCTGAGAAACGTCCAGGCGCAGCACGGAGCGGGCAGGGAGCCACCCAGATAAAGAGACCAGGCCGGCCTCCGAGGAGCTTCTCTGGGCCTGCTCCGGTTCCCCCTCCTTCCGGTTCCCCCTCCTGCCCCTTCACCCCCCATCCTCAGGCCTCGGGCCCATACCAGACGGAACAGCAGGGAAACATTAGACCACTTAATCGGCAAGCTTCTTTGGGAGGGTTCGGTTTGCGCAGTGTCGGTTTACGTAAGTATTTCTAAAATGCTATTGCTATGATTCTGTGCAGATACAAAAATCATCATAGTAAACATGTCACTTCCGATGACTAATTACTGTAGTGACTCAAAAATGTTCCCCGATTTCTTGCTAGTTTCTCAGAACCAGTACTCCATTTCTAAAGTCTTGAACAGACACACGTAAACAATCCTTACTTTATTACTGTAACTGAAGTGGTCATGATGATATGGTAAATCATGAAAACAAGATGATGTGCACACACTGCTATAAGGACCTAAAGTTACATACAGTACCAGTCAAACGTTTGGACACACCTACTAATTCAAGGGTTTTTCTTAATTTTTTACTATTTTCTACATTGTAGAATAATAGTGAAGACATCAAAACTATGAAATAACACATATGGAATCATGTAGTAACCAAAAAAAGTGTTAAACAAATCAAAAAAAAATTTATATTTGAGATTCTTCAAAGTAGCCACCCTTTGCCTTGATGACAGCTTTGCACACTCTTGGAATTCTCTCAACCAGCTTCATGAGGTAGTCACCTGGAACGCATTTCAATTAACATGTGTGGCTTAATTAATAAAAGAGAAACGACAATCCATCATTACTTTAAGACATGAAGGTCAGTCAATCCGGAAAATTTCAAGAACTTTGAAATTTTCTTCAAGTGTAGTCGCAAAAACCATCAAGCGCTATGAAGAAACTGGCTCTCATGAGGACCGCCACAGGAAAGGAAGACCCAGAGTTACCTCTGCTGCAGAGGATAAGTTCATTAGTTACCAGCCTCAGAAATTGCAGCTCAAATAAATGCTTCACAGAGTTCAAGTAACAGACACATCTCAACATCAACTGTTCAGAGGAGACTTAGTGAATCAGGCCTTCATGGTTGAATTGCTGCAAAGAAACCACTACTAAAGGACACCAATAAGAAGCAGAGACTTGCTTGGGCCAAGAAACACGAGCAATGGACATTAGATGGGTGGAAATCTGTCCTTTGGTCTGATGAGTCCAAATTGGAGACTTTTGGTTTCAACCGGCGTGTCTTTGTGAGACGGATGATCTCCGCATGTGTGGTTCCCACCGTGAAGCATGGAGGAGGAGGTGTGATGGTGTGGGGGTGCTTTGCTGGTGACACTGTCTGTGATTTATTTCGAATTCAAGGCACACTTAACCAGAATGGCTACCACAGCATTCTGCAGCGATACGCCATCCCATCTGGTTTGCGCTTAGTGGGACTATAATTTGTTTTTCAACAGGACAATGACCCAACACACCTCCAGGCTGTGTAAGGGCTATTTGACCAAGAAGGAAATGTGATGGTTGTGCTGCATCAGATGACCTGGCCTCCACAATCATCGGACCTCAACCCAATTGAGAGTGAAGAAAAAGCAGCCAACAAGTGCTCAGCATATGTGTAAACTCCTTCAAGACTGTTGGAAAAGTATTCCAGGTGAAGCTGGTTGAGAGAATGCCAAGAGTGTGCAAAGCTGTCATCAAGGCAAAGGGTGGCTACTTTGAAGAATATAAAATATATTTTGATTTGTTTAACACTTTTTTGGTTACTACATGATTCCATATGTGTTATTTCATAGTTTTGATGTCTTCACTATTATTCTACAATGTAGAAAATAGTCCAAATAAAGAAAAACCCTTGAATGAGTAGATGTGTCCAAACTTTTTACTGGTACTGTGGAGTCATTAACATGATATTCACTGTAAAGTCTACACCAGTTGTATTCGGCGCAAGTGATAGATAACATTTGATTTGATATAGGATAAATATAGTATGATATTTTTGGGGGCAGTTTGGCAGTTTGGCTTGCCGCTAGATAGGCAGCCAGCATACCTTATGGAGGACCATAAAAGATAATCACAGAAGTTAATATCTTAACGACAGTTAATGAAAGCGACAGGACTGTTTCGCTAGCACAGACTGGAGTATGTTCCGGGATTCATCCGATAGCATTTAGGAGTTTACCACATCAGTCACCGGCTTCATTAATAAAAGCATTGACGACGACGTCCCCACAGTGACCGTACGTACATATCCCAACCAGAAGCCATGGATTACATACAGGAAACATCCGCACTGAGCTAAAGGCTAGAGCTGCCGCTTTCAAGGAGTGGGAATACTAATCTGGACGAACCATCAAACAGATAAAGAGTTAATAGAGGACTAAGATCAAATCCTACTACACCGGCTCTGACGCTCGTCGGATGTGGCAGGGCTTGCAAACAATCATGGATTACAAAGGGAAACCCAGCCGTGAGCTGCCCAGTGACACAAGCCTACCAGACGAGCTAAATGCCTTATATGCTCGTTGAGGCTAGCAACACTGAACCATGCTTGAGAGCACCAGCTGTTCCGGACAACTTTGTGATCACGCTGTCCGTAGCCGATGTGAGTAAGACCTTTAAACAGGTTAACATTCACAAGGCCGCAGGACCAGACGGATTACCAGGATGCATATTCAGAGCATGCAATGACCAGCTGGCAAGTGTCTTCACTGACATTTTCAACCTCTCCCTGACCCAGTCTGTAAAACCTACATGTTTCAAGCAGACCACCATAGTCCCTGTGCCCAAGAACGCCAAGGTAACCTGTCTAAATGACTATCGACCCGTAGCACTTACATCTGTAGCCATGAACACTCTAACAGATCAACAGATGATGCAATCTATATGCCCACTCACAGCTCTATGCACACTCACTTGACACTACCCACACACTCACACATTCTACACTGACAATCCAACACGCACACACACAAAACACACACACACACGCATACTGACGCCACACACACTCACATAGACACACTTTGAAACTCTTCACATATGCTGCTACTACTCTGTTTATTATCTATCCTGATTGCCTAGTCACTTTTACCCCTACCTACATGTACACATCAATAACCTCAACTACCTCATACCCCTGCACATTGACTTGGTACCGGCACTCCTGGCATACAGCCTCTTTATTGTTATTTTATTGTGTTACTATTTCCTATTTTATTTGTAGCAAATTGTTCTCACTTATTAACTCTGCAATGTTTGGAAAGGGCTCATAAATAAGCATTTCACAGTAAAGTCTACACCTGTTGTATTCGGCGCATGTGACAAATACAATTTGATTTGATTAAACAGCAGCTCTAATAACAGGGAACAGTCCCCTGGCAGTTGTAATTTCATAGGCCGGGTGGCACAACTGTCAGGACAATCAATCAAATCTGGTGACCCTGCTGGGAGATTAACAGTACCCGTCGTCACCTGACATTACTACGCTGGTTCCCCTCCGCTCTGAGCCCACATTGCAACACCTTCAGTTTTCATGTCCGAACATGCCACAGTGAAGGCTGCAGGGAGCCGGCAGCTTTGAGCAAAGCAACTAATCACGATCCAAACACAGCTGCTAATGAAACAACGGGGACGTAACACAAGGGGAAGGTGGGGGGGGGCCTTGACTTTTTCCACATTTTGTTACGTTACAGCCTTATTCTAAAACGGATGAAATCGTTTTTTCCCCTCATCAATTTACACACAATACCCCATAATGACAAAGCAAAAACAGGTTTTTAGAAGAAGAAAAAAAATGTAAACTGAAAAATCTAATTTAAATAAGTATTCAGACCCTTTGTTACAGAGTACTTTGTTACAGCCTCGAGTCTACTTGGGTATGACCCTACAAGCTTGGCACACCTGTATTTGGGGAGTTTCTCCCATTCTTCTCTGCAGATCCTCTCAAGCTCTGTCAGGTTGGATGGGGAGCGTCGCTGCACAACTATTTTCAGGTCTCTCCAGAGATGTTCGATCGGGTTCAAGTCCGGGCTCTGGCTTCCATTTGGCCACTCTACCATAAAGGCCTGATTGGTGGAGTGCTGCAGAGATCGTTGTCATTCTGGAAGGTTCTCCCATCCCCACAGAGGAACTCTGGAGCTCTGTCAGAGTGACCATCGGGTTCTGGGTCACCTCCCTGACCAAGACCCTTCTCCCCCGATTGCTCAGTTTGTCCAAGCGGCCAGCTCTAGGAAGAGTCTTGGTGGATCCAAACTTCTTCCATTTACGAATGATGGAGGCCACTGTGTTCTTGGGGACTTTCAATGCTGCAGAAGGTTTTTGGTACCCTTCCCAAGATCTGTGCCTCGACACAATCCTGTCTCGGAGCTCTACGGACAATTCCTTCGACCTCATGGCTTGGTTTTTGCTCTGACATGCACTGTCAACTGTGGGACCTTATATAGACAGGTGTGTGACTTTCCTAATCATGTCCAATCAATTGAATTTACCACAAGTGGACTCCAATCAAGTTGTAGAAACATCTCAAGGATGATCAATGGAAACAGGATGCACCTGAGCTCAATTTCGAGTCTAATAGCAAATGGTCTGAATACTTATTTAAATAAGGTATTTCTGTTTTCGCATTGTATTATGTGTAGTTTGATAAACATTTTTTGGAAAAAGTGAAGGGGTCTGAGTACTTTCCGAATGCACTGTATAAGGGTTTGTGTTCTGTTACAGCTTACCAGTTACCACCATACAAGACTAACCACCAGCATACGAGGGGCTATAGAGCTCTATAATGATAGAGCCCCTGTAAACATAAGGTAAGAGAGGCAGTGAAGCATGCTGGAGAGCTAAATATCCTCCATTCTGAGGCCCCTGCCGCAGACCAGACTAACCACAACAGTAGCAGGTCTGAAGTGAAGGAATTATGACCCAACTCTGGTGGGCTACTGCTGGATCTTTCTTTCTAGTTACACCGGGTCATCAAGGATCACCTATAGCAGACATACAGTGGGGGAAAAAAGTATTTAGTCAGCCACCAATTGTGCAAGTTCTCCCACTTAAAAAGATGAGAGAGACCTGTAATTTTCATCATAGGTACACGTCAACTATGACAGACAAAAGGAGAATTTTTTTTCCAGAAAATCACATTGTAGGATTTTTTATGAATTTATTTGCAAATTATGGTGGAAAATAAGTATTTGGTCAATATCAACAGTTTCTCAATACTTTGTTATATACCCTTTGTTGGCAATGACACAGGTCAAACGTTTTTTGTAAGTCTTCACAAGGTTTTCACACACTGTTGCTGGTATTTTGGCCCATTCCTCCATGCAGATCTCCTCTAGAGCAGTGATGTTTTGGGGCTGTCGCTGGGCAACACGGACTTTCAACTCCCTCCAAAGATTTTCTATGGGCTTGAGATCTGGAGACTGGCTAGGCCACTCCAGGACTTCTTACGAAGCCACTCCTTCATTGCCCGGGCGGTGTGTTTGGGATCATTGTCATGCTGAAAGACCCAGCCACGTTTCATCTTCAATGCCCTTGCTGATGGAAGGAGGTTTTCACTCAAAATCTCACGATACATGGCCCCATTCATTCTTTCCTTTACACGGATCAGTCGTCCTGGTCCCTTTGCAGAAAAACAGCCCCAAAGCATGATGTTTCCACCCCCATGCTTCACAGTAGGTATGGATGCAACTCAGCATTATTTGTCCTCCAAACACGACGAGTTGAGTTTTTACCAAAAAGTTCTATTTTGGTTTCATCTGACCATATGACTTTCTCCCAATCCTCTTCTGGATCATCCAAATGCACTCTAGCAAACTTCAGACGGGCCTGGACATGTACTGGCTTAAGCAGGGGGACACGTCTCGCACTGCAGGATTTGAGTCCCTGGCGGCGTAGTGTGTTACTGATGGTAGGCTTTGTTACTTTGGTCCCAGCTCTCTGCAGGTCATTCACTAGGTCCCCCTGTGTGGTTCTGGGATTTTTGCTCACCGTTCTTGTGATCATTTTGACCCCACGGGTGAGATCTTGCGTGGAGCCCCAGATCGAGGGAGATTATCAGTGGTCTTGTATGTCTTCCATTTCCTAATAATTGCTCCCACAGTTGATTTCTTCAAACCAAGCTGCTTACCTATTGCAGATTCAGTCTTCCCAGCCTGGTGCAGGTCTACAATTTTGTTTCTGGTGTCCTTTGACAGCTCTTTGGTCTTGGCCATAGTCGAGTTTGGAGTGTGACTGTTTGAGGTTGTGGACAGGTGTCTTTTATACAGATAACAAGTTCAAACAGGTGCCATTAATACAGGTAACGAGTGGAGGACAGAGGAGCCTCTTAAAGAAGAAGTTACAGGTCTGTGAGAGCCAGAAATCTTGCTTGTTTGTAGGTGACCAAATACTTATTTTCCACCATAATTTGCAAATAAATTCATAAAAAATCCTACAATGTGATTTTCTGGATTTTTTTTCCTCAATTTGTCTGTCATAGTTGACGTGTACCTATGATGAAAATTACAGGCCTCTCTCATCTTTTTAAGTGGGAGAACTTGCACAATTGGTGGCTGACTAAATACTTTTTTTCCCCACTGTACCTATTCTCTTCTGAACACAATTCATAGAAATATAGTTAGAAGTTGGTTGTAACCTAGTTTAATGGGCACTCCTTAACCTTGGGACACTAAAGAGGTAAATCAGCCTGAAGTGGGCCACTACACGACCTGTCCAGAGGCTCTCAGAGAGGTGGTGAGAGCCTCTGAAAACACAAAGGTCAAGACCATGACATACCTTCCATAAGCATGGGCTTCCCTCCCCCATGGGCCAGAATCTCCCTATGGTAGCACTCTGCCATGTCCCTGGGGGAGTCTCAGCATTCCCCTCACATGGCTGATCAATCAAATCAAAATCAAATCGTATTTGTCACATGCGCCAAATACAACAAGTGTAGACCTTACCGTGAAATGCTTACTTACAAGCCCTTAACCAACAATGCAGTTTTAAGAAAAATAAGAGTTATGAAAATATTTACTAAATATAATAAAATAAAATAAAAGAGCAACAATAAAATAACAATAATGAGGCTATATACAGGGGGTACAGACACCAAGTCAATGTGCGGGGGTACAGGTTAGTAGAGGTAATTGAGGTAATATGTACGTAGGTAGGGGTAAAGTGACTATGCATAGATAATAAACAGCGCGTAGCAGCAGCGTAAAAAAAGGGGGGGGGGGGGGGGGGGGGGGTCAATGCAAATAGTCTGGGTAGCCATTTGATTATGGCTTGGGGGTAGAAGCTGTTAAGAAGCCTTTTTGACCTAGACTTGGCGCTCCGGTACCGCTTGCCGTGCAGTAGCAGAGAGAACAGTCTATGACTAGGGTGGCTGGCGTCTTTGGCAATTTTTAGGGCCTTCATCTGTTTCCTGTTGACAGGCGGTGATGCAACCAGTCAGGATGCTCTCGATGGTGCAGCTGTAGAACCTTTTGAGGATCTGAGGACCCATGCCAAATATTTTCAGTCTCCTGAGGGGGAATAGGCTTTGTCGTGCCCTCTTCACGACTGTCTTGGTGTGTTTGGACCATGATAGTTCATTGGTGATGTGGACACCAAGGAACTTGAAGCTCTCAACCTGTTCCACTACAGCCCCGTCGATGAGAATGGGGGCGTGCTCAGTCCTCTTTTTTTTTCCTGTAGTCCACAATCATCTCCTTTGTCTTGGTCACGTTGAGGGAGAGGTTGTTATCCTGGCACCACACGGCCAGCTCTGACCTCCTCCCTATAGGCTGTCTCATCGTTGTCGGTGATCAGGCCTACCACTGTTGTGTCGTCTGCAAACTTAATGATGGTGTTGGAGTCGTGCCTGGCCATGCAGTCATGGGTGAACAGGGAGTTTAGGAGGGGACTGAGCACACAACCCTGAGGGGCCCCCGTGTTGAGGATCAGCGTGGCAGATATGTTGTTACCTACCCTTACCACCTGGGGGGCGGCCCGTCAGGAAGTCCAGGATCCAGTTGCAGAGGGAGGTGTTTAGTCCTAGGATCCTTAGTTTAGTGATGAGCTTTGAGGGCACTATGGTGTTGAACGCTGAGCTGTAGTCAATGAATAGCATTCTCACGTAGGTGTTCCTCTTGTCCAGGTGGGAAAGGGCAGTGTGGAGTGCAATAGAGATTGCATCATCTGTGGATCTGTTGGGGTGGTATGCAAATTGGAGTGGGTCTAGGGTTTCTGGGATAATGGTGTTGATGTGAGCCATGACCAGCCTTTCAAAGCACTTCATGGCTACAGACGTCAGTGCTACGGGTCGGTTGTCATTTAGGCAGGTTATCTTAGTGTCCTTGGGCATGGGGACTATGGTGGTCTGCTTGAAACATGTTGGTATTACAGACTCAGTCAGGGACATGTTGAAAATGTCAGTGAAGACACTTGCCAGTTAGTCAGCACATGCTCGGAGTACACGTCCTGGTAATCTGTCTGGCCCTGCGGCCTTGTGAATGCTGACCTGCTTAAAAGTCTTACTCACATCGGCTATGGAGAGCGTGATCACATAGTCATCCGGAACAGCTGGTGCTCTCATGCATGCGTCAGTGTTGATTCAGAAGTGGTTTAGCTCTTCTGGTAGACTTGTGTCACTGGGCAGCTCGCGGCTGTGCTTCCCTTTGTAGTCTGTAATAGTTTTCAAGCCCTGCCACATCCGACGAGCGTCAGAGCCGGTGTAGTACGATTCAATCTTAGTCCTGTATTGACTCTTTGCCTGTTTGATGGTTCGTCGGAGGGCATAGCGGGATTTCTTATAAGCGTCCGGGTTAGAGTCCCGCTCCTTTAAAGCGGCAGCTCTACCCTTTAGCTCAGTGCGGATGTTGCCTGTAATCCATGGCTTCTGGTTGGGGTATGTACGTACGGTCACTGTGGGGATGACGTCATCGATGCACTTATTGATGAAGCCAGTGACTGATGTGGTGTACTCCTCAATGCTATCTGAAGAATCCCGGAACATGTTCCAGTCTGTGCTAGCAAAACAGTCCTGTAGCTTAGCATCTGCATCATCTGACCACTTTTTTATTAACCGAGTCACTGGCTACTTTAGTTGTTGCTTATAAGCAGGAATCAGGAGGATATAGTTATGGTCAGATTTGCCAAATGGAGGGCGAGGGAGAGCTTTGTATGTGTCTCTGTGTGTGGAGTAAAGGTGGTCTAGAGTTTTATTTCCTCTGGTTGCACATTTAACATGCTGGTAGAAATTAGGTAGAACGGATTTAAGTTTCCCTGCATTAAAGTCCCCGGCCACTAGGAGCGCTGCCTCTGGATGAGCGTTTTCCTGTTTAGTTATGGCCTTATACAGCTCATTGAGTGCAATCTTAATGCCAGCATTGGTTTGTGGTGGTAAATAGACAGCTATGAAAAATATAGATTAAAACTCTCTTGGTAAATAGTGTGGTCTACAGCTTATCATAAGGTACTCTACCTCAGGCGAGCAAAACCTCGAGACTTCCTTAGTATTTGATTTGTGCACCAGCTGTTTTACAAATATACACAGACCGCCACCCCTTGTCTTACCGGAGTCAGCTGTTCTATCCTGCTGATGTAGCGTAGAGCCCGCTAGCTGTATGTTGTCCATGTCGTCGTTCAGCCACGACTCGGTGAAACATAAGATATTACCATTTTTACTGTCCCATTGGTAGGATAAGCGTAATCGTAGGTCATCTAATTTATTTTCCAATGATTGAAGATTGGCTAATAGGATTGATGGAAGAGGCAGTTTACTCGCTCGCCGTCGGATCCTTATGAGGCACCCTGACCTACGTCCACAATATCTCCGTCTCTTTCTCCTGCAAATGACGGGGATTTGGGCCTTGTCGGGTGTCTGTAGGATATCCTTCGCGGCCGACTCATTGAAGAAAAAATCTTTATCCAATACGAGGTGAGTAATCGCTGTCCTGATATCCAGAAGCTCTTTTTGGTTATAAGAGATGATGGCAGAAACATTATGTACAGAATAAATTACAAATAACGCGAAAAAACACACATAATAGTACAATTGGTTAGAGGGCTGTAAAACGGCAGCCATCTTCTCTGGCGGAAATGCAAACAAGTTTCCTTCCAGTCAAATGTCCTGTAACTTTCAGTGATAGTACAGTGCATCTGTTGTTATATCATTGAATCATTGAAGCAAGTTCCCGGTGTGTGATTACACACAAGCAAAAAATCTCAAGGGACACACAAAAATACATCACCAAATTGACCTAATATATTTTGACATTAGTAAAAACTCTGGTTTTGCTTTAAAAAAACAACATCATCGATTTATGACTGCCTCAGAGGAAGTTAATTGTGTTACTACAGTATGCTGTTTTGTTTTTTTCATAGGGACACTGCATTTAGGTTAGTCATACCCTGCACTTAGTCATACACTACATTTAGTCATACCCTACATTTAGTCATTCCCTACATTTAGTCATTCCCTACATTTAGTCATTCCCTACATTTAGTCATTCCCTACATTTAGTCATACCCTACATTTAGTCATACCCATGAAAGTCAAGTAAGTGCTGCAGACAGCCACGCCTTGATATTGTGTGTATTTCCTGATGAAGGGTTTGTGTGAGGACAAGCTGAATGGCTCTCAGTCTCACCTGTTTAAAGCATCCTGAACAAAGCACTGTTTCCACACCATGGAGGCCACAGCGTGGGACATGAGATGGGAGTAGTACTTGGCCCCGTAGCCAATGAGGTGGCTGAATCTCAGCTGCCATGCCTGTGAAGGAAAACAAAGCATTTCACAATATCACAACATCATTAACAACACCATAAATAAATACCCAATAAATAACCCAAATTAAACTGGCTTTCAACAGTTTCCACTGTTTATACCATGATTTCATAAAGACCACCTTGTTGCCTAGAAGGTCCAACTTTCTATCTATAAAGACAACGTGCTCTATGATCAGGCCTGATTTGGGACTTGGGGAAATTCAGCTGGGAAACATTCAAACAGTCAGAAGAAAGAAAGCAGCGGTGGAATAAAACTAAATTATACCCCAGTCTCCACGGTGGTTGTAAAACACAAATGCAAAGCTAAGTACTGTAAGTATTGTATCAGAGCATTAAGGCTGTAATGCATAAGGAACCTTACAAACCTTGCTAGATTCAAATGGATATCTCCAAATGAAGTTGCCCTAAGTAACATCAACATCTGGGCCCAGACCTTTATAAATGAATGAGTGACTTTAGCTCTTAGGAGAAGAAAAAAAAAGACAACAGATTTTTATCTTGCTATTTTATCCCTGACTGTGCACTTTACCGAACCGTCTTGGAGAGGTGATAGAGATAAGTTGAAATGGGCTAGTCTAAAGCACCCTGTGCTCTGCCTTTGAGAGGGGTGCTGCTTATTTAAACAGCGAGCGGTGTGAAAGAGTTCTCCAAGCTGTGCGGAAGATCCTCTAGCGTGAAACATGCTTAAGCGGCAAAGTGTCTGCATGATGGGTCCCATCTGGGCCCTAATGACTTTAATAAGGGTAAACAGTACTCCTGATAGAGGCAGTACAAGGGGGAAACCAAAACATTAGGAAAGTGAGCACAAATCATGAGGAGAGAGTTCACCAGCCGCCCGGAAGGCAGTACCAGAGGCCTATAGCAGTAGACAGAGGCCTATAGCCTTCCTGTGGCAAGACATCTCCAACCGTATAACACCTTTGAACATGAAACGTTACTACAGGTATGACTGAAAGAATGTCTGAAACTTTGTGATGGACAGTGAACACTCAAACTAATCAGTTGATACACCAGTGCTCTGCTTTATTTTTGATCCCTCTGCTTGCCTCAAATGTTAGATGTCAACTTTTGAGAAGGTCATAGCCCAGTCAAGTTAACATCTCAGGGAAAGATCCCTTTTTATCCTCACACACAAAGATGAGGAAAGTCAGAGCAGCCTTTCACTCTGTTCTTCTGTGTATTAGATAAAATACACTCTTGTCCTTTTTAGACCAGGCTGCTAGGCCTTTGTTCAGGGTGCTAGGGATCAACACAACGTTCTGGGTGAGAAAATAACATGTCTTGACTCTCTAGGGCTCCAAGAGAACAGATAAAGACAAAGAATCATCAACAGAGCAGAAGGAATGTCAGGCTTACTGCCATTTTCCAAATATTATTATCGCAGGCACAGGGCATTCCATTTGGACCATGTACTCAACAACAGCTGATAGTCTTTCTCTCCAGTCAGAACTGATACCCCTGGTCTATAAACCATACACATGTCACAATCACCCCAGTGTTTATCATTTGGGTCTCTCTGTAACCTATTAACCATTCAAATGTTCAGTTTAGTGTGGAAAGTTTTGCATCACTGCTGTTTTGCAAGGGCAGGGAGAAAAGAGAATAAAATACCAGAAATATGGTCCTTTCAGCAGAACATAAACAAATCTGTTTTCACTTGCTCCAATCCCATGACTGATCCTTTAACAATACAATTCAGATTTTTGTAAGTGGGGCTAAAAGGAGGAAAACTACTCTTCCATCATAACATATGTAATTTGAGTGAAATATTGAGTAGCGGCATGGTTTTATAGTTGAAGAAAAATGACCAAGACAGGATGGAAAGTATATAACATTAGCCACACTCCCCTGAGAGGTCGGTGCTGCATGGATAAAAGTGGAAGTAGGACTTTTAGTGAGGTTAAAGCAACTGTGGCTGGTAAGCGCAAATAAAGTGAGGAGGAATATAGTTCTGACGGAGTGTTCTCTATTCCTGATGGCCCACATAATTATAGTTGAGGATAAATGCCTTATGAAGGCAATTCCTGGCTAAATGATGGCTGTGTTTTACATTCTCTCTTCCCTCCTGACTTTGTCCTCTTTTGTTTATTTATTTTCATTAAAGGACCACAGAAAGAAAAGTTTAAAATATTTCCCCGAGGCAGTATACCTCTGCTTTGTTATTTGAGCAGGGCCTCCAAAAAAGCTTTAATCCTTTAAACGGTACTGCGCCTGGGTAAGAGATATAAAACAACAGAGCCAGGGAAGAAAAGCCAAAAAATAACTCCCTCTCTCTCGCTCTTTCTCTGCTCTGAGCTGTTTTTGTTCCTCTGTTGCACGAGAAAAGGCAGACACTGGGGTAAAGTTTTGGGGATTAGGCAAAGAATGCCCCCCAAACATTCATTAACTATAAAGGCTATACTTGAGCTCATAATCAAAGATCTATAGACCACCAACTCAGTGAAGGCAAAGACCATTTTGACACTGAGGTGAGTGTACGGTAGGCCGTGGAATTTCTGCTGCATGTCCTTTAAGATATCAGTCGTTGATCGGTTTTGGGGTTTTCCATGATAAATCTGATCCAGAGCAGAGTAGAAAATCTGTCCACAGAATAAATAAACATGCTAATAAACATTCATGCAGTTACATGTTAAACCTTTGAAATGTTCCCAAATATCCCACTTGAGTCGAGGCATTTTCTGTTGCCTGAAAAAGGCTGATATCTGTTAAGTCTCTACACTTATCTACCATCAATCACTCACTCAAAGCACTTATAGGACCCTTATGCCCATTGTGGTTAAGTACGTTTTAAAAGCAACGGTAACAATATAGGATACCTTGTTAAAAAACGACTATAAAGATAGCAGATAACAGTTGTCAGGGTTTGCTGCAGTGCCATTACACTTTCAACAGTTTAGGAGAGCAAAATGTTTTTCCCTTGTATTGTACATTTGCATGAGAGTTCAGTGTCAATGTAACCCATGAAAGTAAAAACCGTGACCCATTTAGTTCATTGTTGTTGTATGTCAGGGGGAGTTACCTGTAGTTGAGTGTCTGCCGCACCACACACCTTTTTGGACTCACACAGACGAGCCACCATGCCGAGACAGAGGCTGCAAAAACACAAAGACATTCATTTCTCAGCAGAAATATTGCACCATATCTTTACAGTAACCAATATACACTGAACAAAAATATAAAACACACCATGTAAAGTACTGATCCCATGTTTAATGAGCTGAAATAATAGATCCCAAAATTTTTCCATATGCACAAAAAGCTTATTTCTCTCAAATCAAATTTTGTGCACAAATGTGTTTACATCCCTGTTAGTGAGCATTTCTCTTTTGCCAAGATAATCCATCCACCTGACAGGTGTGGCATATCAAGAAGCTGATTAAACAGCATGATCATTACACAGGTGCATCTTGTGCTGGGGACAATAAAAGGCCAATCTACAATGTGCAGTTTTGTCACACAACACAATTCCACAGATGTCTCAAGTTGGCATGCTGTTGGCATGCTGACTGTAGGAATGTCCACCAGAGCTGTTGTCAGATATTATAATGTTCATTTTTCTACCATAAGCCGCCTCCAACGTTGTTTTAGAGAATTTGGCAGTACGTCCAACCGGCCTCACAACCACAGACCACGTGTATGGCGTCGTGTGGGCAAGCGGTTTGCTGATGTCAACGTTGTGAACATTTACATTTTAGTCATTTAGCAGATGCTCTTATCCAAAGCGACTTACAGTTAGTGAGTGCATACATAAAAATAAAAATAAAAATCATACTGGCCCCCCGTGGGAATCGAACCCACAACCCTGCCGTTGTAAGCGCCATGCTCTACCAACTGAGCTACACGGGCACACGAGTGCCCCATGGTGGCGGTGGGGTTATGGTATGGGCAGGCATAAGCTATGGACAACGAACACGAGGGCAATTTGAATGCACAGGTACCGTGACGAGATCCTGAGGCCCATTGCGTTGCCATTCATCTGCCGCCATCACCTCATGTTTTAGCATGATAATGCACAGGCCCATGTTGCAAGGATCTGTACACAATTCCTGGAAGCTGAAAATGTCCCAGTTCTTCCATGGCCTGCATACTCACCAGACATGTCACCCATTGAGCATGTTTGGGATGCTCTGGATCGACGTGTACGACAGCTTGTTCCAGTTCTCGACAATATCCAGCAGCTTCAAACACGCAATTGAAGAGGAGTGGGACAACATTCCACAGGCCAAAATCAACAGCCTGATCAACTTTATGCTAAGGAGATGTGTCGTGCTGCATGAGGCAAATGGTGGTCACACCAGATACTGACTGGTTTTCTGATCCTCGCCAATATTTTTTTTCTTAGGTAGCTGTGACCAACAGATGCATACAGTGGGGGAAAAAAGTATTTAGTCAGCCACCAATTGTGCAAGTTCTCCCACTTAAAAAGATGAGAGAGGCCTGTAATTTTCATCATAGGTACACGTCAACTATGACAGACAAAATGAGGAAAATAAATCCAGAAAATCACATTGTAGGATTTTTTATGAATTTATTTGCAAATTATGGTGGAAAATAAGTATTTGGTCAATAACAAAAGTTTCTCAATACTTTGTTATATACCCTTTGTTGGCAATGACACAGGTCAAACGTTTTCTGTAAGTCTTCACAAGGTTTTCACACACTGTTGCAGATCTCCTCTAGAGCAGTGATGTTTTGGGGCTGTCGCTGGGCAACACAGACTTTCAACTCCCTCCAAAGATTTTCTATGGGGTTGAGATCTGGAGACTGGCTAGGCCACTCCAGGACCTTGAAATGCTTCTTACGAAGCCACTCCTTCGTTGCCCGGGCGGTGTGTTTGGGATCATTGTCATGCTGAAAGACCCAGCAATGTTTCATCTTCAATGCCCTTGCTGATGGAAGGAGGTTTTCACTCAAAATCTCACGATACATGGCCCCATTCATTCTTTCCTTTACACGGATCAGTCGTCCTGGTCCCTTTGCAGAAAAACAGCCCCAAAGCATGATGTTTCCACCCCCATGCTTCACAGTAGGTATGGTGTTCTTTGGATGCAACTCAGCATTCTTTGTCCTCCAAACACGACGAGTTGAGTTTTTACCAAAAAGTTATATTTTGGTTTCATCTGACCATATGACATTCTCCCAATCCTCTTCTGGATCATCCAAATGCACTCTAGCAAACTTCAGACGGGCCTGGACATGTACTGGCTTAAGCAGGGGGACACGTCTTGCACTGCAGGATTTGAGTCCCTGGTGGCGTAGTGTGTTACTGATGGTAGGCTTTGTTACTTTGGTCCCAGCTCTCTGCAGGTCATTCACTAGGTCCCCCCGTGTGGTTCTGGGATTTTTGCTCACCGTTCTTGTGATCATTTTGACCCCACGGGGTGAGATCTTGCGTGGAGCCCCAGATCGAGGGAGATTATCAGTGGTCTTGTATGTCTTCCATTTCCTAATAATTGCTCCCACAGTTGATTTCTTCAAACCAAGCTGCTTACCTATTGCAGATTCAGTCTTCCCAGCCTGGTGCAGATCTACAATTTTGTTTCTGGTGTCCTTTGACAGCTCTTTGGACTTGGCCATAGTGGAGTTTGGAGTGTGACTGTTTGAGGTTGTGGACAGGTGTCTTTTATACTGATAACAAGTTCAAACAGGTGCCATTAATACAGGTAACGAGTGGAGGGCAGAGGAGCCTCTTAAAGAAGAAGTTACAGGTCTGTGAGAGCCAGAAATCTTGCTTGTTTGTAGGTGACCAAATACTTATTTTCCACCATAATTTGCAAATAAATTCATTAAAAATCCTACAATGTGATTTTCTGATTTTTTTTTCTCAATTTGTCTGTCATAGTTGACGTGTACCTATGATGAAAATTACAGGCCTCTCTCATCTTTTTAAGTGGGAGAACTTGCACAATTGGTGGCTGACTAAATACTTTTTTCCCCCACTGTATCTGTATTCCCAGTCATGTGGAATCCATAGATTAGGGCCTAATTAATTTCTTTCAATTGACTGATTTCCTTATATGAACTGAAACTTAGTAAAATCTTTGAAATTGTTCAGTATAGTAACACTTCAAAACAAAACAAATATATGGCTTTGTTATTTTGGGTCATCAACATGTTGCCATAGCAAAATGGTGAGTTTGTGTACCTGTCCTGTTTGATAATGGCGGGCAAATTGGTTCACTACACGATAATCAGTGGCAAAGTACTCCATTAAAATAGAGGGGACCTCCGCAAAGTCAGTGGCACATTTTGTTGCTGAGAAGACAAAAGCACAGTCTCAAGTTGCTACATCTATTTTATGTAAGTGGATATCTCTCTCCATGAAATTGATATTTTGAAGCATCTTGAGTTACTTGCTAAGGCGTATCCCTAGTCTGTATCTAACAAGTAAAGGAGCATGCAATCAATCCAATGATAACCTGTGTGGATTTCCTCACCAAGCCGTAGCATTCTCAATTGGATTTAACAGACCTTTTCAAGTCTCCTCACCATGACTGAACACAGCATCTACGCATGCCATTCTAACCTGTGATCATCATTATCAGATGCACTGTGTAAAATGTCATACACAACACCACCCACTACACTAGGAGAGGATGAAACCATTGATACTGAAATCAATCCTCCTTACTATTAGGCCGATCGATTTGAGAGAGGTTTACATACAGTCATTTCCAAAGACTTTCCCATATTATTATTCACATTAACAGTACAAATACATAGGGGCAGTTCCATGGTAACAGAGTGATGCTGAGACTCAGATTTTTTACTTGAAATGTATGCCAAACAAAAACCAATGATTGCAAAGTTAAACAAACCATACAAGTCTATGCACAAGGACGACTTGGACATTTCAGCATCACTCTGTTACCATGGAATTGCCTATAAGCACAATGCCAAGCTAAACACAATGCCAGGTTAAAGCTGCTAAAGTTAACGATTCATCTCTGAGAATGTCAGATGAGCATGGCTGACCTGTAATGTGTTGGTAGCGCGTGTGACCTAGAGAATGGAGTGCATGGCATGGCCCATCTAGTGGACCAGGTTCTCCATCATGTCCGGCATGAGCAGGGTGGGTGTGCTCTTGGTGGGGTGGGGCAGGCTCAGCATCAGCACCACTACAGGTAGCTGGTACTGCCCGTTCTCCTGGAACTGCCGCCCGCCACGGATGGTGAAGTGGCAGTCCTGAGGAAGGGAGAGACAGAGAGAGAGATCATTGAGGCCCTGTCTTGAAATCCACTCTATATGCGGCTGGTTTCAAGATCAGTGCCACAGGGCCATAGAGACTTTTTATTTTAAACATGCCAGAAACAACAGCCATGACGGTATTTTGAACTACTGAAACTTGTTTTGATCTACTGAAACTCATGTCATCTTTAAAGAAAAGCAGTTGTGCTGTGGGTGTGGTGTGTGATGCTCTGTCTACCTGGTGGGGTTTATTTACTCTGTGGAAGAAGTCACAATAGATGTATCCCAGCAACCCCTCTGTCTCATGAACTACAGCCTGGGCATGAAGTGACACAAACAAATGAGCAAACGTAGGAGAAACACAATTAAGACACAGTATAACCACAGCAAACAAACCACAGCTTCAACACTATTCGGACATTTGAATAGTTTTAGGAGGGTTTTTACCAGTTTGCGGACATCATCATTCCACACCTCTCCTGCACTTGGATGTTCGGACATGAGAGTGACTCCATAAAGCTGGGTGAAGAGGCTGTTCAGGCCCTCCATACAAGACCCCAGGGAGAAGTAGGGACTGTAGAGGCTGGGCTCAATGTTGTACCTGCAACCAAAACACAACCACAAAATGACATGAAAACACTTTAGCCTAATCCCAGTTGTGTGACAGAGACAAGCTACTGTAGATGATTGTAGGAATCTCCTGCTAAAACCAAATGGGCATATATTAGCAAGGTTCCATAGTTAACTATGATGCTTTACAGATTCCTCTTATTTTCCCCCTAAAGCCACTTGATGCTCTGATTAACACTTGTCATGCTGACTCTTGGGACTAACGCTCTCAGACTAGCAGACATAAAGGGGGAAGCCCTATCAGTTGATCTGCAAGGCTCCTGTCAATCTTGGGAAGCATGCACAACTACTCACTTCTGGTGTGGACAAAGCATACCATTTGAAGCAAGCAGTGCCTGCCCTGGAGGCATATCCAAACGTCACTTTGATTTAATTAAAACCAGTGAGAAGCCCATTTTCCTAGGCCCAGTTTTACAGACATGATTAAGCACACAACTACACATGATGTGGCCTCCTTGCTTGTTGTATATGGGACAAAGTGTTTCTGTACATTCTGTGCTGTATTATTTAAGTGGTGTTTCACATTGAAAGAATACTCAGTAAACACTGTATACTATGCTTCACTCAAGGGGCAACAGTAAGCTTTTTCACCGACTGCTAATGGAATAATAGCAGTAATCATATGATCTTTCCTAAAGACTACTAAAGGGAGTAATTTATACTATCTTGCACATGATGTACTACTGGACCTTCATTTACCGCACTTAATCTGAAACCCATTTCAGCAGGAGATAAACATTATCCAACTCTGACTTCAGTAGGAACTGCAAACCACTAATGCTGTTGACTCCAGGAGAAGAGCACAGTGTCTGGGCACCAGGAGCCATGCAGCCGTGGTGGCAACTTTGGGCAACCAGCCATCCCTGGGAACCAACCGCATTCTAAACCCAACTCCATAGGAAACTCCTAACAACCAACACGGCACAGCACGGCATAGCACGCCAAGGAGATGAAGAAGGCTGAGGGGAAAAGGATTCGGAAACAGTTTTTCCTCAGTTAAAAGGAGGAGGAAAAAGAAGACTCTCCACAACCTCTCACCCTCCTCAAACAGAGGTTGTGCCAAACCCCATGGTGGAAACAGCCATTGAGTCCATCCCCCAGGACCTGGAATGTCTGCAATAAAGCTTTAATAAACTGTTATCCAGCACATTTGGCATTTAGACTTATTGGCCTCTGGTGAGCGCCTGAGAGGAAAAGCAGTTCATTAATAATGTCCGTAAAAAGACGATGTGAGACCGGCACAAAACTGGAGATGCTAGATGTGACCAACCACATCTCCCATTCACTCAAAATGTTCACAGCAGATTAGGCCATTCCACTTCTCCATCTGTGAATCGCGACATTTATGAATAACCCTTGGCAATAAAGATAATATGCTGTCTTAACCGCCCAAAGCCCATTAATCAGCATGAAACTGCAGAATATATAACGCATACTAGAACAAATGCATAGGGTCTCAACAGATAATTCAACATATTATATATGCTATTGGGGAAATCCTTTCCCGACAGATGGGATTTAGTCCTGCAATGAGTTCAGGTTTAGGTTGAGTTGAATACTATCTGGGTCCTAACCAATGTCCCCTTAAAAAAATGTGGCACTGAGCAAATTTCAGGTCTGCTATGTGCCAACTTGAATGTTGTGAAAATTCTGTGCAACTTCAAGCACGCGTTTATTGTGAACACTGAGGCTGTACCCATTTTAAGTTATAGGTTTAAGAGTGGCCATGTAGGCTACTGTGGCTATTTGATCATACTGTAGGCCTACCAGTGGCCTACCATCAAAAACAATGGAGAAAATGCATCCCATAACATTTTAACATGGAAATATCTGTTCTATCATTCAGCCTACAGTAGCAGCCAATGTGTGGTGTTCAAAGTAAGCCTACATTCCAAGAGACTTTTGAAAAATACATACAGGGCTTGACATTAAGCTGTTCATCCACTTATCCTTCAGACAAGGAGGTGACTGAAAATGTTTTGTTGTTTGATGCAAGAAACCACTTTAAAAAATAAAATGCATTATTATTCCATTATTACAGAGAATCAGACAAATTATGCTAACCTCTGCCTATTGGCTTTTTAGCTTATTCAAGCCTGTCTCAAAATACAACACTGCCCCTTTAAAGACAAAAAAATAAGCTCTTTACCTGACTTGCTTTTCAAAGATGTCTAGAAATGTACACATTTTGTGCTCTTGTAGGAAGCAATCACTCCCCTATTGCTGACTACAAATGATCTATAACTGGGCTAATAACTCACTAACTAGCAAAGGATATGAACAGAATGTGCACATGGCTACATGCAGCTCTCGTTTTGATCTCAAAACAAGCGCATCTATTCACAACCGCTCATGCTGTAAACACAGTCCAGTTCAAAGTAAATGGCACAGATCCATATATGGCAATGGTCTATTTGCGTGTAGGCCTACTGCAGCTCTGATTGTTTATGCCTCACCGGTCTGTGTAGAGTAAGGGCTGAGTAGTGTGTGTCAATGCAATAGAATCCTACTCTGATGCGTTCTGCCTACAACAAAATCGCTTGCATAGTTCGTTTTGTTTCGGTATTGTCGTGACGTGACTTTCATTATTGTGATGACTATTACTTATCAAATAATTACCTACTATGTTTAATTGTTACTAGATTAAATTAATAATGTAACAATTAACTCATTAGGAATTTGGGGCACCACGGGAAAGGTTTTTTAACGAGTTAACGTTTCCCGAATTAACTCTAAAGATATCTAGATATCTCTTATCATTTATTAATAATTTACCTCATATCAGTCTCATTCTGAAAGTCGTAGGCTCTTTAAATCTGCACGAACCCAGGTCTTACTGATCATTCCGTACCACACAAATGGATTTCATTATTGATTTACTAACTAATTAAAAACGATAACACAAGATACAAACACGTACACGGTATAGGTAGGGATTAGACACTTAATACAATGAAATTGGGTCTCTAGCTGACTAACACAATATGACACTTGTTACAAAAGATGGTGAGTTAAAGAGAGAGAGCGAGAGAGAGAGAGAGAGAGAGAGAGAGAGAGAGAGAGAGAGAGAAAACACTTGGATACACATGGACCTACACTCACAGTAATCCTTTCCCCCGAACTTCCGCCCGTTTGGGTAGAAAAGTAATGCATGTATTTACGTGTTGGAGGTATTCGTCGAGGATCTCTGTTGGACCCAGGCCTTCGTGGGAAGGGGTCGATTGGGCCTTCTCTTTCGGATGGACTTTCAGATGTAAGGCTCAGATTGTCCACAAGAGGTCACAATGTCCTTCTTCTTAGTTGTCTGTTTACTTTCACTCGTTCTGGAAGTGGTCTTCTGAGGACAGCTAATCAGCCGTGTCGATGATCCCCTGTGGGGTGATTAGAGCAGTGTAGTAGACGATGGCTTGAAGAGAGTAACAGGATGGTCCCACTTAAATTCACCTTCTTAGATACAGTACTTAGAACAGCTACTCAGCCGTAACATTGATTGTTAATGGAGGCAACTTTGTCGTCTTCACCTTGTGTTGCTTTTCAGGGTCGGGACCAACATGGACAAAAGCTGCAGCTTGAGGTCCGTCTAGTCTGATCTGATCGTTCTTATCTCAATCTTTTATGCACTCTGGTAAAGAGGGGCGTTTCCGTCATACTGACACGCTCTCTAAGCTCCCTTGGGCGTGGCTAGTTACGAGGCAAAAGTATTATCTTCACTATGATTTTGTTAGAAAGCTAAAATCCCATTGGGCCTCCCGAGTGGCGCAGTGGTCTAAGGCACTACATCGCAGTGCTAGCTGTGCCACTAGAGATCCTGGTTCGATTCCAGGCTCTGTCGCAGCAATCCGCGACCAGGAGACCCATGGGGCGGCCGTCCAGGGTAGGGGAGGGTTTGGCCGGCCATTCTCATTGACGGGGCTGTAATGGAACAGGTTGAGAGCTACAAGTTCCTTGGTGTCCACATCACCAACAAACTATCATGGTCCAAACACACCAAGACAGTCATGAAGAGGGCACGACAAAGCCTATTCCCCCTCAGGAGACTGAAAAGATTTGGCATGGGTCCTCAGATCCTCAAAAGGTTATACAGCTGCACCATCGAGAGCATCCTGACTGGTTGCATCACCGCCTGGTAGGGCAACTGCTCGGCCTCCGACTGCAAGGCACTACAGAGGGTAGTGCGTATGGCCCAGTACATCACTGGGGCCAAGCTTCCTGCCATCCAGGACCTCTATACCAGGCGGTGTCAGAGGAAGGCCAAAATTGTCAAAGACTCCAGCCACCCTAGTCATAGACTGTTCTCTCTGCTACAGCACGGCAAGCGGTACCGGAGCGCCAAGTCTAGGTCCAAAAGGCTTCTCAACAGCTTCTACCCCCAAGCCATAAGACTCCTGAACAGCTAATCTTGGCTACCCGGACTATTTGCACTGCCCCCCCACCCCCCTCTTTTACGCTGCTGCTACTCTGTTTATTATTTATGCATAGTCACTTTAACTCTACCCACATGTACATATTACCTCAATTACCTCGACTAGCCGGTGCCCCCGCACATTGAATCTGCACCGGTACCCCCCTGTATATAGCCTTCCTACTGTTATTTTATTTTACTGCTGCTCTTTAGTTATTTGCTTTTATTTTTTTTTGTTAACACTTTAAAAAATGTGTTTGTTGATGATATGTGTAATAAAGAGTTGGCTCCACCTGACTTTGTCAAAAAATAGCCCCTTTTCCATAATACATCCGAGAGCGTTCGACCTACCTCACTCCCTCTCTCTCTCTCGCACCACTCTGAGTGCCGCTCAGCCCACCATAGGTGCGTTGCTGAGCGCACACATAAGGTAGGTACCTCACTTTACAGACTCCTAGGAGTGCTGTAGTGAGTGTCTCACATAGCAGGCTGCAGTCTCAGTCAGATAATGGCAGGATGACGCAACCGCTATTCGGGGATGGCGCGCTGTCTCAGGCTTCAGTCAGTGCAGTTCAGACCCGTGCTGCGTTCACGGAGGGCCGGAATACTACGGTTACGGTTTAACCAACGTATTGGCGCCCCCGTTTCTCTCAGAACGCGCTGATGTTTCCTCTCCCTTTCACGGGAGGCCCACCTTGGGCTGTTCCACCACCTCAGTGCTGGGGAACAGCGGCGGCGAGGGCCATCGAGGAATACAGGTCCTTCCTACTGAATGTACCACAGCTTCGCGCTCGCCCGCTTTCTCTGCATTGCTGGGAGTGGCGGCGAAGCTGTACCCTCTCACGCTGGCTAGACCAGACGTTGCAGAAGGGTTATGCCATCCAATTCCATCGGACCCCGCCCCCATTCAGGGGAGTGGTGGAGACGGTGATGAAAACGCCCGAAAAA